ACACACACACACACACACACACACACACACACACACACACACACACACACACGCACACGCACACGCACACGCACACACGCACACACACACACAAATGTTGGCTACTGTTCACTGCTACTCCACAATACTGGCTCTGATTTGCGTACGTGACATTCTCATGTCCTCACATTCATCTCATCTCCTTTCTATCTCTCCTTCTATTTCCCTTGTCGTCTCCTCTCTTCCTTTCACTGCTCTTAACCTTTCTTCCTTCTCCTGTCTCCTCCCATCAATCTCTCCTTCTCTCTTTATGAAATTATCATTCTCCTTTCCTCTCCTCCTCTCGCCTCCCAGCTCGCTCTCATTCCAAAATCCACGCTTCTCTCTTCTTTATTTTTTCCCCTTCTATTCCTCTCCTCCGATCTCCTTTGAGCTATTTTTAATCCTGTGATATTGTTTTGTGTCTGATGTATTGTTACGCCCATGTGTGAGATGTTGTTTAAAGATGCTGATTGTTGGATGTCTTTATTGATATTCCTGCCAAATCAAAGGAGATTTTTCATAAAACAAAAAAATACAGCCTCACAGTGACGCCTCTACAATGCTTCATGCTTTTATTTGGGTCAAATGTTGTTTACTGGAAAACAGAATTGCAGTCTTTAGACCCATGTGTTGTCTGTAATACATGATCTATTGTAATATGAAGCATTTCTTCACAAATGTACATTTCGAATTCTGGGAAGAGGCATTTTTAAATCATCAAGAGAGGAGAGAAACCAGTCATATGGGATTGCTGGAGAAGAGATGGTCGGATTAATTAATTACATGCTATGTGAAAATCCTACATGTTACCGCCTTTACACCAAAATGAACTGAATGATGTTTTCAGAGGAATAGTACAAGTCTGTCTGAAGCCTTCAGATGACTGAGCTCTTTTGATCCGTCCATGTAAAAGCTCCATGTTCGTTTATTCTCAGCTATGTGTTTGTGTGCGATAAGTAACACTCACACTCCGGGTAACAGGGACTGACTGTACGTTTGCAGGGATGGTGGCTGTTCAAAGAATGTCGAAAACACATTCAGGTGCTCCTTTGTCTCAAGCCTTGAAATATTCTCCCCCTTCCCTGTAACCACCTGCAGGTAAGATCAAGTACTCGGAGCAGGTGTACGACTCCTGCATGGAGGCGTTTGATTGCCTGCCTCTGGCAGCCCTGATGAACCAGCAGTTCCTGTGTGTGCATGGGGGGCTTTCACCAGAGATCCACACGCTGGACGACATCAAGAAGGTATGAAAAGAGGCACATACACACATTCAATTTTGAGTTACACTACTCTACAAAGGCAATACACACGTCAAATTGAGTTAAAGAGGCCCTATTATGCTTTTGGGGGGGGGGGGTTTCCCTCTCC